CCGGGGAGAGGCGGATGAGCTTCCTCTATCAGCTCCAGCTTCTCTTGCGGGGACATGAGAGAAGCCTCCCACAAGGATGATAAAAACATCAAAATCATCCAGGCGTCCCCTGGGCAACGTCCTTGCAGACGGCCAATTCTCTCACACCAGGAGTCACTCCTGACACAAAAACCCCCCCCAAAAAACCAGATCTCAGTGCCTGGCCCCAAAGCTCCAGTTTCTGTGGATCATGTTCAGATGGAAGCAAACTGATCTTCCAGTTTTTTGAGCATAACTCTGGACAAGAGGAAAAGGCTGTATAAATTATTCGCTCAGTAAAAAAAGCAGAATGCTACAATATGTATAGATACTTACTTACTTTTACTTAGGCGATCCCTCGTTGTCCGAGTAGGATAATCCTCCAGGGTGGGTCCATAGGTGACTATGGAGCCCTATTCTTGATCTGCATCATCTCCCGCAGTGAGGGTATTGGTTTCCAGGTGGAAGGCGGTCCTGATTGGGGTTGGCTTGACGCGCCTTCCTCTTGGCACATTTCTCTCTTTCATCGCATGATGTATTCTGCATACAAGTTGAATAGGTTGGGTGAGAGTATGCAGCCTTGCCGTATGCCTTTTCCAATTTTGAACCAGTCTGCTGTTCCATGGTCAGTTCTTACTGTTGCTACTTGGTCATTATACAGATTCCTCAGGAGAGAGAGGATTTGAAGTAGGTTCTTGTGGGTTTTTTCGGGCTATAGGGCCATGTTCTAGAGGCATTTCTCCTGACGTTTCGCCTGCATCTATGGCAAGCATCCTCAGAGGTAGTGAGGTCTGTTGGAACTTTGGAAAAGGGGTTTATATATCTGTGGAATGGCTGGGGTGGGGCAAAGAGCTCTTCTCTGCTGGAGCTAGGTGTGAATGTTTCAACTGACCACCTTCATTAGCATTTGAAGGTCTGGCTGAGCCTGGGAAAATCTTTTGTTGAGAGGTATTAAGATGTGCCTGGATTTGAAGTACTCGTATCTAAACTGAAAGTTTCAGGATTCTCACAGGATAGAAGCATAGCAGTTAAAGTGGGTTTGGGGAAGTGTGTAGTGTGAAAAGATCCTTGCCATTTCTAGGTGAGAAAGTGCTACTATGGTAAATAGCTGCCTTTAAAGGCTGCCTTGCTGCTATAATCAACCTCATCAAGGTATTGAGACCCTGATATTACATTTCTTGCTTTTTGCATGTGTTGCTAGCTGAAGATACAGTTTTCGATAATTAAAGGAGACACCAGTACAGCTTTGGGAGTAAGAAAAATCAGCTTCCCTTCCTGCCAGTTCTGAAATGACATTTCCCAGTTTAAAAAGGGTGAAACATCAGGGAAATATTTTTGTATATAGTGGGGATCAGAGCACGCTCCTCTTCCAGCATTCAGCAGATTCTGCGCTCATTAACTCTGCTATGAGAGAGATCAATATTTTGAGCAAGAGTAACTCGTTCTGAATTAAACTCTTTAGGAAGTGAAATAGATTACTGCCTTCAGGCCTTCAACTGCTTCATTAGTGCTTTAACATTTTCACAGGGCATGAGAGATACTCTACCAAAAAAAGCTATTTGGTTGCTGCAGGAAATCAAATATTATGAACTAATGTCACTCCCACAGAAATCTATATTAAGATTACTGTTGTGCTATTAGTAAGTTATATCCACAATCTATCAACATGCTTAATATACTTTGTTCAATACCACAATTGTACGCATGTTTATAAAGAGATTCTGCTGTATTCAGTTTAACTTACTTCATAATAAGTATTTAAGGATTGCTTTTGTTTAAACAGCTAAAGCAACATAAAGCTAATAATAATAATTAAACATGAGCCAATAGTGTGATGTGGCGGCAAAAAAAGCCAATGGGATTTTGGCCTGCATCAATAGGAGCATAGTCTCTATGCCCAGGGAAGTCATGCTACCCCTCTATTCTGCCTTGGTTAGACCACACCTGGAGTACTGTGTCCACTTCTGGGCACCACAATTGAAGAGAGATATTGACAAGCTGGAAAGTGTCCAGAGGAGG